CACACACACATATATAACCCCTTTGTATAAATTTAAGTAATGTGGCTTACTGGCTTTTCCTCATTTTAACGGTCTCTCTCTCTCAGTTGGCAACTCAGGAAGTGACCCGTGAGGACCAGCAGGTGGACACGGTCAAGACGGTATCGTCCCTGGTGGTGGTGGTCCAGCCTGTTGCGGGATTGGCCCCCGGGCCCCTCAGTGTGCAGCCCAGCATCATGGCTGTGGACACAGCGGTGAGACAGACACGTCCTGATTTCATTAAGAATACCTGAAACTGTAGTTTTCAGGCAATTACTAGAAAACTGCACCTGGTATCGAACAGGAAGATCTTTGTGCATCTGTTTTCAGGGTGACTGCGTGTCTGTGGGTGTGACGACTCTAACCATGTCAGCTGTGCTCAAAGATGCTAATGGAAATCCGGCAGAGGGACTTCAAGGAAACACCACCATCCCATTCAGTGGCTGCTGGGCCAATTACACTGATTTAGCCATCTTTACAAGTGGTGGGTTGCCTTTGTTACACAAATTCAGTTTTTTTGGGGGGGTTGCTGTCAGTTGTTATTACAGTAATTTTTCTCCTTGTACCTCTTTCACAGGTGAGAACTTGAAGTTGGCCTTTACTCTGAATGAATGGAAGGCTGAGTCCAGATCTTTCACACTCAGAGCAGCTACAACGCCGTCTTCTGTGGTCGTCACCACGGAGGATGATGGTAGTAGCATCTTTGACTCCAGTCCAGCTGTCTTGTCACAGTCTGTGTATCTGCTTATGCTGCTGAGTGGTCTACTCCTGCTCATGAGACCCTAAATAATCACAACACACAGTACACTCTTATAAATATATTACATTGTCTTCTAATGATTTGTCTTTGTCTATAAACTACTATTGTTTTTCCATATGATCATGATCTGTAAGCCACAACTATAAATTCTGAGCACATTCACTCATAATAACTGTAGAACAAAAACAACTTTTAACAAAATTAAATATTTAAATCTATTCCTTTTACTTTCAATATTATATATTTATATGCTTTCTTATATGCTTAATAAAATGTCAAGTTCTTGCATAGTTTGTTTTTCTATATACTATATAGCACAAAGTCAGCATGGAATGAAAGGCACAATTGTCTTTTCTTCCCTACATACTGTATATTCAAGTGAAACTGCTTCTTGAACAGTAGGGCGAGAATTGATTGGATCAGATTATGAGAGCACATGAATTAAAATATATATATATATATGCACAGATTATATGAGGTATAATAAACACTGCGATGTTCCATAAAAAACAATTGTCAGTTTTGATTTCATGGTGATTTTAAATGTCTACAAACAATATCCAAAGCGTATATACGACATGCACAACAGGACAATTCAGTCCTTAAAAAAACAAACAAAAAAAAAACATGAATATGCATTTAATTCTGACCACATCTCAAAGCCTTCTGGCGTGGAAATTACATTTTAAATATTTTTTGGGGGGAAAAAAGGCCTATAATTTCATAATATTTTATGTATCCAAAGACAAATAATATTTTTTTCTAAAATTAATAGGCCTAATAATTAATTAAAAGGCCTAATAATATCCCTTTGTTTTATTAACACGATGTCTCTCATTTATCATTAAAACAGTTGATATGTATTATTCAACAATTGGAGGATGCTTTCTTTGTTAATGCAATAGGAAGGAAGGAAGAAAGAAAGAAAGAAAGAAAGAAAGGACCACTAGAGGGAGATAAAGTCCACAGCGCTCAATCCTCACACTTACACCTGTCGAAGTTTGGGGGAAACAAACTGTCGTTCACATTCATGATGAGCTTAAAATAAAGAAATTATTGATATAAACGAACATTTTTGTCACTTTTCTTTTTTTAACTATTGTTTCTTATTCTACATAGCAGTTACATCCGTATTTTAAACGCTATGTGGTACCTTGGTTCTAATAAAACCTTACAGCTAAATAAACCAATATAATATAAAACATATACAAAACTTATAAATGTTCTACTGTTAATCGCGCATATCAAAAATGATTCCGACATGGAGGACAGTAGCATCATCTGAAAGCTGGGTAGGTCGTTAAGTCTTGTTTGGATTGAGTTGAGCTAATAATGTCATGACGGTAGGCCTACTTAAGGAGGCAGTTCTTCAGAGGAGCTGCTCAGTCTGCGCTCCTCCACACACACGTGATGTGTCCGTGTTTTTCCTAAGCAGGTCCTTTTTTTCTTGTGCATTTACAAGATGTGTTCTTATGGAGTCTCAGGGGTATTTTTGACTTTTACGTTACTTTTGCATTTTCTTTGTGTTCACTCAATAAATCCTCTGTTTCCAACCGCATCCAAAGGCACGAAAGTGTCCAAGACTGTTCCTGCTGATGGCCACAGAAGAGCCAAATACGGCAAAAGTACATTGTCAGCATCACCGTTATCAGGAGACGTAAAGTCACAGCGGGCGATCAAGGATGCAATTGAACCTCATGATTACATGATCTCCATCTACAAGACCTTTTCCGCGGCTGAGAAACTGGGACTGAACGCGAGTTTTTTCCGCTCGTCAAAAGCAGCAAACACCATAACGAGTTTTGTGGACGAGGGTCAAGGTTAGTTATTTTTTTCTTATATAATATCAGGTTTAAAATTCGTTATAAATGATTTTTGCTCCGAGTTTCCCTTTTCAACGAGTGTCAGAATAATTACTGTACTACAGGAGCGCTTGAGAAGAAGGAAAAATACTGTTTCTTATTAGACAAAGTACGAAAAAAAGGAATGAATGGGTGGATTATTGTTTGTGTCATATAATCCTAATGAAATATTATTAAATAATAAACAAGAATCCTCTATCCTTAAATAATAAATAAGAATAGGCTATCAAAACAACTTTTGACAAATGATCCAAACTTTTTTTGTACATTCTACCTTTTCATAAAAAAGAGTGAACAAATTTCAGTATGAGACACTTTATTCTCAATTTGTTGCAAAATAATCATATTACAGATGCATTGAGAGAAACGGTCTATAATTAATGTTTTGGCCAAAAAAAAGGAGTATATATATATATATATATATATATATATATATATATATGTATATATTTCCATGAATATTACTTTTTTAAATTGTATAACTTTTCGCTCTTTTTAATCTATAACATGAAAACAAAACAAAAAAGCAATCATTCAAGAAGGAAAGAAATTTCCATCTTAGTTGATTGAAATCTTCTTCTTCTTCTGCATTCACACGCTTTCTCTCTCTATGCCTCTGTAAACTGATTTTGTAAATACTGTACAGCCACTGTCCACTAAAACATTTGTGCTCTTTGTTCCAGATGACCTTTTGAACTCCCCACTGTGGAGGCAGAAATACTTATTCGACGTATCGACTCTTTCTGAAAGCGTGGAGCTCTTGGGTGCCGAACTGAGGATATACACAAAGATCTCCGGAAGCTTCCGAGCGTCTGAGACGGGCCCAGTGGAGATACAGCTGCTCTCCTGCCAGTCGCACACTGTCCTTGATTCCAAAACCTTGGATCTGGAGGATGCGCATAAACCAAAATGGAAGGTTTTTGACGTATGGGAGGTTTTTAAGGAACGTCAGCGCCACTCCCACGGGACGCGCTTCTGTTTGGAGCTCAAGGCGACGCTAGATAATCCTGAGAGGGAAATCGACTTGCAATATCTTGGATTTCACAGACATGGCCGTCCGCAACTAAAGAAAGCCATATTGGTTGTTTTCACAAGGTCAAAAAAGAGACAAAGCCTTTTCTATGAAAAAAGGGAGAAGATAAAGCTGTGGGGTTTGGATAGTCTTGGGAAGGAGAAAGGACCTCACTCGAAGTCCCGACGGAGAAGACAGACCATTTTACCCAGCCGCCATGGCAAGAGGCACGGTAAAAAGTCCAAATCTAGGTGCAGCAAAAAACCCTTGCATGTGAATTTCAGGGAACTGGGTTGGGACGACTGGATCATTGCTCCCTTAGACTATGAGGCCTATCACTGTGAGGGAATGTGTGACTTCCCTCTCCGATCTCACCTGGAGCCGACCAATCACGCCATTATACAAACTCTCATGAACTCCATGAACCCCAGCAACATGCCACCCAGCTGTTGCGTCCCGTCCAAACTCAGTCCCATCAGCATCCTGTACATCGACGCTGGAAATAACGTCGTGTACAAGCAGTATGAGGACATGGTGGTGGAGTCCTGCGGCTGCAGGTGATTGTGAAGTTCAAACTAATGAGGAAATGTAAATAAATGTGTCTGACTTCCTGATCTGTCTTCAGAACACTACTGGAATGCTATACTGTAAATCACATCTGGAACTATGATTTTTGGACTGGAATCAAGCACAGAAATATTATTACATCACTCTTAGTTCCATTTCACTGGGCATGTTTATACTTAAATTGTTTGTGTGTATAAGACAACATGTTCCTGCTTTAAATAGCTGTATTTTATGGACTGATATGTAAATGATTTTTTTAATTGTACAGGTACAAATTTTTATTTATGTTCAGTTACACTAAGTTATTTTCTCGTTAAGTGCTATCATTTATTCAGTAATAATATTTCACACATAATAAATAAGCTATTTTAGTTATTGTAGCTATCTACCTCATTGTACAAATTATGTTACCGTGTAAATGTCTTCCTTTGAGAGATTAACCTCGTGAACGGTTTTGTAAATATTTTATAAAAAGTATGAACCACATTATTCCTTCAATAAAATACCACCAAATTAAATATTTGTTAAATATTTCGTCTTGAATATTGCCTCTTTGTTATTGTTTGCATTCGCTGCTGCATAAGTATCGAACTGAATTACTATTCATTTGAATGTTTACTAATTGAATAAATATTTTGAATCTATAGACTAATGTTCAAAAGGTTGGGGTTAGCAAGATTAAAAAAAAAAATTATAATAATAATTTATACTTTTATTCAGCAAGGACACATTGATTAAAAGTGACAGTTATGATGCTACAAAATATTTCCATTTCAAATAAACAGTCTATTCATAAAAGAATCCCAAATAACATGCATTATGATTTCCACTAAAATATTCAACATTGATAATAATAAGAAATGTTTTCAGTATATTAGAAGGATTTCTGAAGGATCATGTGACACTGAAGACTGGGGTAATGATGCTGAAAATTCAGCTTTGCCACCACAGGAATAAATTACATTTTAAAATATATTAAAACAGAAAACTGTTTTTTTTTAAGTGTAATATTGCTCAGTATTAATTTTTGTATTTTTGATCAAATAAATGCAGCCTTGGTGATTTGTTTCCTCCAAAACATAAAAAAATATCGTACAGACCCCAAACTTTTGAATAATAGTGCACCCCAATAAAAGCATGAATAATATCCCCAATAAAGGCATGAATAATAAATTAATATTAATAAAATCATGTTATATATGCAGTATATTCACAGTGCATCAGTCTTGAGCCTTGAAAGCTGATTTTAGCATTAATACCATTAATGTATACTGTCAAAAATGTATACCTTTAAAGAGCACAACAGCTTGTCAACTGGAGCCATACATTTTAAGAGAAACATTTGAATCTTATCTACTCCATAAAGGTGCATATTATAGGAATACAAATGGTGTACTTTTGAAAAGTACTATGTCACAAGCTAAAGGTAAAGATCCAGTATACACCATGCAAAAATGCTGCAAGTGGTAGATTATTAACAGGAGTGCAGCTCCCAATTCTCATCTTTCTACACCAGTACTGGTCTGAGTTACACAGAACACTAACTGACAAGTGGGACGGGACAGAGTAATTCAAAACTGGGTCTACTCCAGAGAAATATCCGGCACCCTGCTTTCATTTATGCCAACCCGAGATACAAAGATCCAAGTAATCTGTGTACCTTCCCTGTAAAGAGCTGAAGGGAGATAATTGCAGTGTTTAGCAAAGGTGAAAACGGGGTCAACAGACACTCAGCACAACCTTCCCTGGGTGGCATGCGTGTCTGCGTGAATAGAGAGGAACATGTACACACACACACACACACACACACACACACACCTATTGGTAAACTGAGAAACAGTTGAACGGCTCTGACCCCGGTACTAAAGTCGCATTCATTCTCTGTCTGGGAAAACAATTACAAAAACCATGGATGCTAACTTAAGATTAGGCTTGCTTTTACCCCGAGGTCAAAGGTCAAGCATCCTTTTGTCTCTCGCCACTGTGTGCGTTTAACACATCCAGTAAAGAAAGAGGAAGCAATCAACGCTGCAGAACAAGGGAAAGGAATGAGCGTGATGCTTCATTACACCAGACTCTGACACATTGTCAGTCCTCGCTCGCCCGTAAAACACATGAAGATATAAGACACACAGCTGCTGGACAACAATGGACTGGAATGTCGTGTATCTCTAAAGGACATCTGTGGATGGACCGAATGCTGTGATTCAGTGATGGAAGCAGTGAATGTTATCAACTCACATGCTGCCATTCATTAATCAGCATTTTTTTAGTACAGTCGTAAAGGGATAGTTCACCCCAAAATAAACACTGGCATTCTTTACTCATCCTCATGTTGCTTCAAACCCATATTGTTCTTCCAGTTCAATCTCATTAGTAACTGAAGGTATCAATGCATTTAGTTCTACATATGTTTGTGTGTTTGCACAAACACGGAAACATGCATTATTAACATAGTGACAGAATCTAAATCAAACACTGGTGGTGTTGTTTTTGTTTTTATTCTTTTTTCTTTTTTTTTTGGATCCAATAAATCTATAAATGCAGCCTTGGTGAGCACAAGATACTTCTTTCAAAATCTTAGGGGAAAGAAAACACTTACCAACCCCAAACTTTAATGTATAAATAACTGCAGTATCAATACTAATGAGATCAGAATGGCTCTTTCATACCAAAAAAAAAAACAAAAAACAAAGAGTAATAAAGGGCTGCCAAAATTACAAACAGAAAAAAAATAAAAACATACATAATACTCATGTACACTAAAATGTTAAGACGTGACACACTAGGCTTGATATCAATGACACCAAACAGAATTAGTTTGTGTATCTTGTGACCAATCATAACAATTTAAGTTTGAATATGTGAAGGTGAAACTGTTCATTTTGGAGCTGTTTAACAATACGTTTGGTAGGGAAAAAAAGCATTTATGGATAAACTACTTCCTCAGCTTTAACAAAGCAAGTGACTTTCAACAATAAAAGTTCTCTAAATTTTCTAAATTAGCTTTTAACAATACATAGAAACAGAAAAATGAAAGTGTGCCAGAGATTTCATGTATGATTCAAAGCTAAAAATCTGATTGTGTCATATCAGCTAATAGCGTCATTGATTAGCCTGACTTAACCAGTGACACAGATACTGTGACTGCGGTGTTTGTCAAGACTGTTTGCACTGATTCAGTCCTTTGTCTTGTGTGTTTGAAGAGATGCCATCTTCTGTCAAAGAGTCAAATGCTAGCGACCTACAAGTCAGCTCGACGGATGGAGAGCTGAGAAAAGACATTTGTAAAGTCAACATCAGAAAGGAAAGTGGAACGCTGAGTTTAGATGGTCGGGCAACACTAAAAGAATGGAAGGCTACAGGTTAATCTGCTCTACTTAGCCTCGGTACACAAACGATTGGTAAAGGATTAGCTCGGTTAACCCAACGCACATTCATCAGTTAGTAGACTGTCAGATGATCCTGTAACACTTGATCACAATGTCACTGAATAACATTCACTTATTATGGGACATACAAAGACTTTATTGCTCTAACGTAAAAATATAATTTCATTTTAAGCAGGTGTAATATAGTGCAAGATGGCCTACAAATGTGTCCACAAAACATATTAAGCAGCACAACTGTTTATAGCATTGATAATAATCAGAAATGTTTCTTGAGCACTAAATCAACATATTAGAATGATTTCTGAAGGATCATGTGACACCTTAATGGTAGCAAAACTACAGGAATAAATGAAAAGTTTAAATATATTAAAATGGAAAATTATGGAAGCTTGTTTCTGCCACAAGCTAAACATTTTTTTAAATGTCATTGCAAATTTTTCTCACAAAAAATATATCAGAGTTGCAAGATACAGACTCAGAAGTCTATAATACAAACTATGATATTCAATTTCAACTGCAAGAAAAAAAAACTCACAATTGCCTTTATTTATTTATTTATTCCCATGGCAGAAACAGGCTTCCACAGAAAACCATTCTTTTAAATTGTAATAATATCTCACGATATCACTGTTTTACTTGTTACTGCATTGATAGCTTTTTTTGCGGGACATGCAAAGTCATTATTGCGCTTGTGTAAAAATATGTCATTTGAATCAGGTGTGAAGGTGCGCACAATGGCCCAGTTGAAGATCCAACGTAGCTTTGAACTAAAGTCCTCTGAGGAACAAATCCGCACTTCTGCCGACCAAACTTCTAGCTGACCTTCATAATCTCCACAAAGCAAGACAAAAAAAAGATTCTCAGTGAGGTTCTGCAGGTCACCACCGACCCAACAGCTCTGCGCCATCTATACGGGGATAAAGCGATGTGGAGATGTGCAGATGTTTGAAATAGGTAGCGCTCAGGACCATATGGCTTTGGTTGATGCTACCGCGGCGCTTCGCATACTGGGTTTAGTTATATATGGATTAGGCTACTTAGTGGACGACTCTGAGTCAACGCTAGACAGGTCTGACCCCGGCTCATGTGTTTTGACTGAATGATAATCAGACCTCTGGACTTCTTTTACACATTAGAAGCAGAGCTGATATGACAGGGGCTGCAGTGTTCCTTTACAGTGGTTCGGTGGAGAAAATGTGAAACAGATGAGGGGAGTCTACAGTGAGGCTTTCTCTCTGCCTTAATTAAAAGTGCCTGTCGAGGACGTTTGGAGAGAGTTCGGCTCCCAGATCATTGCGGCATTTGCACATCAAAAGGAAATGACACTGGACACGGGGTTACCCATTAGCAGAAGAGTTTTATACAAAGATCACAGGCTTTCATTTGGCAGTAATGACCTACAGATTGCCTATCCCTAAACGTCCTTCACCTTGTCACAACAAGGCCCAATCGCAGGTAAAACAGCAGGTTAACCAACTCAAAGTCCTTTTATCAAACGGTATAAGGCCTTTCTGTGATGTCATGGCTGGTGAGCGTAGTTGTGCAGCCTTTTAATGGCAACTCTTAGTATATACTCGACAGTTCAGACTCTATGAACTCTTA